AGAGAATGAATATTTATTTTCTTCATTATGAAATGTTATGTGTCTCATTTCCAAAACTTTCCTTTTCTTCCAGGCAAAATCACTGAATCTACAGATGGAAGCATCGCTCTTATTGATGTGCCCGTTGTCACACCAAACTGTGATGTTGTAGTTCCATCACTGACATTGGTGATAAATCAAGGAATGCATCTCTTAATAACAGGCCCAAATGGCTGCGGCAAGTCTTCGATGTTCCGTATCCTTAGTGGACTTTGGCCTGTATATGCTGGTGAGCTAAAACGACCAAAAGACTGCTCCATGTTCTACATTCCTCAAAGGCAAATATGATTTGAAGTAAATAAATGTTGGGTGTGTTTAATTGTTTAAATTATTTAACGAAGAGTTAAACTTCTCTTACAGGCCATACATGTCTCTCGGATCTTTGAGAGATCAAGTAATCTATCCAGACACAGTAGAGGATATGAAAAGGAAGGGGATGACTGATGATGATCTAGAACGTAGTTTGGCCCTTGTTCATCTTTCCCAGTTGGTTCTCCGGGAGGGAGGCTGGGATGCACAGGCTGATTGGAAAGATACTCTATCGGGTGGGGAAAAGCAGAGAGTCGCAGTCGCTCGTCTATTCTACCACAAGTATGTGTATTTAATTACAATTAGTGTACAGTAATGTCCCTCTCGAAGCTGGCAAATCGGGACCGGATTTCAGCTTCGAGAGGACGACCCGAAAGTTAGCCACATGTTGCGAACCTATTGTATTGGCGTGGACTCGGGCATCAGGCGGTTGTAAATGCTTTGTCGCCCGTGTACAAATATTCGGACGGGCGACGAGTACACACCCGGCGCGGCCGTCCGTCGGTCTGTCTGTCGGCCGGGGCCGGGGCCCGCGGGCGTTGAGCCGTGCCGCTGGCTATCGACGCCCGGCCGGCAGGCCACCACGATAACACGTCTCACCTCTGCAAGCATGCGTGTCGCGTCCCGGCGCGGTGGAGGCGCGCTCCCCCCCCCCAGGCCGGCGATGGCCGGTGCTCAAGGCTGACACACGCTTCACCCATCTCGCGGTGTTATCGCAGACTTTGTTCCGCGCCACGTTGGGGAGCGGGGGGACAGGGAGGGGGGGGGCTGGACTGGACTGCGCGACTGCCCTGCTTTGTCTCCGCTCCGGTCTGGTTTTTTGGGTACCCGCCGCCCGGGTACCCGCTTTGCCGCGTGGCGCGCCGTGCGCCCGGACTTTGGCGCGGAGTTTTCGAGAAGGAAAAGGCGACCCGGAGCCGGCGACCTTTTGGCGCGCCACCACCACCTTACACTCACGCAAACCTTCCCCTACGTCGTACAGCCCAAATTCATTTCTAGAACACATGTATATGTTTGAATTAAGCATTTGGCTTTATATTATTTTGCCAATCTATAGCCGCGCACAGTGAGTAAACACTTGTTACCCGGGACTGGTTACACGCCGGGCAACGTGTTTTGATTGCTCTCCCAGGTAGTGTGCAATTATATTGTTACCGAATTGTTACAAGAACATACCTCTGATAGGTGCCGCGCCTTGGGGACAATTGCACGTAAGGCGTGGAGCTCACAACACCCTTGGTAAAATTGCCTGTGAGGCGCGGAGCTCACAACACCTTTGGTTCAACTACCTGTGAGAGGCGGAGCTCACAACACCTTCGAAACAACTGCCTTTTAGGCGGGGAGCTCACAACACCTTTGGTACAACTGCCTGTGAGAGGCGG